GTTATCGAACAAAGTGGGATGAGAATGATGGCGAAAACCGATCCCATTGCCATTGCCCTTATTTGGAAAACACGGAATGTGGTTTAAAAGTGTGTGAACACCAACTTGAGTCAAGTCAAGATTTTAAAACCAACTGGAGGTGCACTTGAACAAATGCTTCCCGAGATTTCAGTGGGGCTCCAACCAGCCTTTATTGGTCATATTAAAAGTGAATGGGGTACATAAAAAACCAAGGATGATCCAGTCATACAAACGAGCACATTGTTCGAAAATTTTTACCCATTTTACGGTAAGGCCAACGTGTGGACCTTCGAGTCTCTTCCCCCCTGGGGGACGGCTCTCAGTCCACGCTAGGACCCTCGGTCCCCTTCCCCCCCCTGGGGGACGGCTCTCAGGCCACATGGGGACCCTCGGTCCCCTTCCCTCCCTGGGGGACGGCTCTCAGGCCACACGGGAACCCTCGGTCCCCTTCCCCCCCGGGGGGACGGCTCTCAGGCCACACGGGGACCCTCGGTCCCCTTCCCCCCCTGGGGGACGGCTCTCAGGCCACACGGGGACCCTCGGTCTCCTTCCCCCCCTGGGGGACGGCTCTCAGGCCACACGGGGACCCTTGGTCCCCTTCCCCCCCTGGGGGACGGCTCTCAGGCCACGCGGGGACCCTCGGTCCCCTTCCCCCCCTGGGGGACGGCTCTCAGGCCACACGGGGACCCTCGGTCCCCTTCCCCCCCTGGGGGACGGCTCTCAGGCCACACGAAGACCCTCGGTCCCTTCTTTTTATTGGGAGACGTCCTTGGGTGCGCGTTGAGTTGATCCTGTCGTAAATGTAGTTCTCCCGCGCGACCAGTAGAGTCTTTAAAAATGTCTTTCCACACCCGTGGTGTTGAGCCTATTTTTCTGCCACCAAGTAACAATAGGAGCATAGAGATTAATGGAAAATAATCGAAGAGATCATAACGGAAGAAAAAACTTAAAACTTAAAAGACTTGCAGCACGTAGGCAACAAATGACGCCCAGTCAAACGACTTAGGCGCTGCAGTAGCAATTTCGTAACTGCCACTCCAGCGGCCATTTCGTCCCTCGAGCGCTGGTGGCGATTTTGCCACTGGCGCACGTGGCAATTCGCCACATGCGCGCGTGTGGCGATTTCGTCCCTGACGCGCGGCACTTGCGCCAGTGGCGATTTCGTCCAGATCGTGCGCCACTGGCGCCAGTGGCGATTTCGTCCCTAGCGCGCGCCACTGGCGCCAGTGTCGATTTCGTCCCTGGTGCGCGCCACTGGCGCCAGTGGCGATTTCGTCCCAATCGTGCGCCACCGGCGCCATTGGCGATTTCGTCCCTAGCGCGCGCCACTGGCGATTTCGTCTCTGGCGCGCCTGTTGGCGTTATGTCCGACGCACTTCGATCTCAGTTGAGCGCCCGCCAGTTACAGTCGCACTCGTGATCGTTTGCCCTTCATGGAAAATCAAGCGCCTGGGTTGAAGTGAGTAATAGCTTAGAAGATAGTTTCTAGCGACAAAGGAAACGGTCGAGGTGGTTGGACGAGAATTGGAGTGAAACTGCAAAGTTCTGAAATGAAGTCGCGGGTGGAGGCCGAATGGCCTCCAAACCTCGTTATGTACTCGGCAAATTGTAATTCGCCGTTGCTTTGCTTCGTTACAGGCAGCTGCGCTTTCACAATACACATTTTTTGAAAGTGTTACACACTTTCGAAAAATTTCATAATGTAGTAATAAGGGTACATTCCTACCTCGTGTCTGACATCAGGTCATCCGTCCTTAGAAGCTCGGAAGACCCGAAGTGGTTCAAAATAGGGGCAAATCAACATTGAGAAGAGACAAATCAGAGACTAAGGGCGGATGACCTGATGTCAGACCCGCCATAGGAATGTACCCTAAGCCAGTTGCAATGAGAACGATGCCAAATTACAAGGAACAGAAAGCAAGCTTTCTCAATACCGTAATCCCCCGTATATAGGACCCTAGGGTCTTATGATAATCACCCCTAAAAAGGCTGGGGGGGTATATTTAAATGGTATATTTTTTAGAAGACCCGGGTCTGTTCATTTTGACATTTATAAGAATGTAGTATGGAGCTCAAATTGTACATTCCAGTCTCGTAATGTCAATCGAATCGGAATTTTACAGAGGCCCTGAAACAGAATCGCGCGAGGGCGATTCTCTGACGCTGCACAGAGCTTTGGCACGTCAAATTGCCCGCGTGCCAGCTCATCCTGACTGGACGCGCAACCAGTCAGGACCCCGAAAGTCAAACAAAGTGAAAATGGGTGCTGACTCGCTTGAAAATCGAAATTCGCTACCGTTCCAATCAGGTATGAAAAACAAAATTATGCATGCGCTTATAATAGAACAGGGTTTTACAGGGGGAGCGCTTATAATTGAGTTCCGGATGTGCGTTCATGGGTGCGATTTCTCTTAATCAACATGGAATATGACCATTTTCAATTGCATTTGTGTAAAATCCGCTCTTCTCTAGGATGTGAGGGGGGGTCTTATAATGTTAGGAGCCATTTAGGGGGGCACAACTCAGATGTACTCGAATAGAGTACCCGGGTCCGTATTATAGACCCGGGGGTCTACAACTGGGGGGGGTCCTATATACGGGGGATTACGGTATGTTCACTACATGTATTTCTTTCAGTGTGTTATCCTCATTAATGTGCCCATGAATTTGCCAAGTAACCAGTCCAAGTGCCGCAAGACACTAACAGAGAACAATCAATGCATCCTGGAGCCACAAATTTTCGACAGCCACCAACTAAAACCATCTAAAATCATCTCCAATAGCTTCCATGTAATTTCATTGATTATTCCCTGCCTTATCCCTCGAGCATGTGTCTTTCCGTGATTCAGACTCCGGGAAACTTAACTCCCAACAAGTACCGTATATTTGTTAACCGTCTCTCTTGTTGTAACCCTACATCTCCCATTTCCGCCCAAAACCCCCCATCTATCCTCGCAGCCATCACCTCCGGCTCCTCTTCTCCGTCTCCCTCTCTCTGTCGTCCTCATCTCTCTCCCTAACCCTCCCACGATCCTTCCCCCGCTCTCTCTCCCGTTCTCGCTCCCTGTCCTTCGCACTCTCCCAATCTCGCTCCCTGTCTCTCTCCCTTTCTTTATCCCTATGACTATCTCGGTGTCTGTCCCGGTCTCCTTCTCGCTCCTTGTCCCTCTCTTTCTCCCCGTCTCTACTTCTCTCCCGCTCCTCCCTATCCTTACCTCTCTCCCTATCCCTCTCCCTGTCTCTTTCTCTGTCCTTACCTCTTTCCCTCTCCCTCTCCCTGTCCTTACCTCTGTCCTTATGCCTATCACCACCTCTCTCGGCATCCCTATCCTCATGATCCGCTTCCTTCAAATCCCGGTCCCTCTCCCTTTCCTTTTCCCTTCCCCTCTTCCTATCCTTCTCCCGTTCCCTCTCCTTGTCCTTATCCCTCCTACTCCTCTCCTCCCTCCCCTTCCCCATCTCCCTATCCTGTGACTTATCACCCTCATCACTACCTGAGTCCCGCCCTTCCCCACTCTTCTCCCTCTCCTCTCTCTCCTTCTCCTTCGCCCTCCCTCTCTCACGATCCCTCGCCCGTTCCCTCTCCCTCTCCTTATCCCGCTCCCGCTCCCTGCTTCTGCTCCTGCTCTTGCTTCTGCTCCTGCTCCTGTTGCGTCCTCGTTTGTGCTTGCTTCCCTGCTGCTCCTGCTGCTCAGAAGAGGTAATGTGCCTTTTGCTCCCTTCACTTCTCTCCTCTCTTTCCTCCCCCCCTGCTGCTGCCACCCCCAACTCCTCCCTTCTCCTCCCTACTTACCGTGAGAGACAAATCAAGGCGAAGGTGATTGCAGCGAATGTAAGTGTAGCGGAGGTGATTGTAGGAAGGGTTGGGAGGGGGACGATGGGATCCAATCGTGGTGAAGGTGGGTCGAAAGGAGAGCCACGGGTGGTTAGAAAAACGTACCACAGAACCAGAAAATCCAAACACAAGATTTCGGAAGAAAAAGAGGAAATCCAGGAAAATTACATTATTGAAAAAAGCAAGCATCAGTTGCGTACCTGGAGTCCCAAGGGGTGCCCCATATGCAGCCAACGCTTGCCACCCACCCGACGCCAACCGCCCAATCATGGGCGGCCACGTGCCAGCCGCCATTTCCTCTTCGAGCTTCTTCCTATGCGCCGCAACCTTCACTTCCACCTCAAAAGCCTTGAAATTCTGAGCCTCCAAGGCATCCCGGAACTCCAGAACTGCCAATTCCAGTTTCCTCTGCTTCACTCTCCTCTCCTCCTCATCCTGTTGGTCTTGAGCATGCATCTGCCGACTTCCTTGGATACCACCTCCCCCAGAAGAGACGGAGTTTCGGTGGGCGGCGGAGGTGCGTCGGGGTGGCGAATTTTCGTCTTCGTCTGACGAGTTGTATGAGACAATTGAGGCTGCTTTAAAGGGGGACGGCGCAGCAGCACCAGCAGAACGAGAACCATCCACAGCATCACTCCCACCTACCGATTCCCTCCTCTTCTTCCCCTTCTTCCCTGCACTCTCATCATCATCCCCCTCATCATTCCCCTCTTCGTCCTCTCCCTTCCCTCCCCCCTCCTCATCCTCATCCTCCTCATCCTTATTCCACTTTGACTGAGGCAAACCGACGGCTTTCTTTTCCAGCTTCAGTTTAACAGATTTGAGGAGAGGGCCTAGCTTCTCGAGTTTCTCCAGTTTCGATCCGAAGGCTTTAAGCTCTGGGGTAGGGAGGACAAACTTCTTCGGTAATGCAGCACCACCACTCTCACCAGCAGCACCAGCTGAACCTGCCCCAGCCTTACCCCCGTCCCCATTCCCATCACCCTTGCTCCCCTCCTTCTCCTTCTTCACCTCAACCCATCCCGACCACCCCACACTCCCTTCCATTCGCTTCGCAATGCTCGCCCTCCGAGCCTCGGCCGCAGCTTCGGCTGCAGCAGCCGCCGCAGCAGCTGCCTCTGCTTCGGCAGCCTTCTTAGCCTGTTCAGCTGCATCCAATGAAAGCAGCCGAGCCACCATGATAGGCACTCCCCCTCGGGTTGATAAGCCATTGTGCTTGCAGCGACGCTTGAGCTCCAACAATGGGAGTGCAAGAAGCTCTTTTCGCGCTGCCTCCTCGGGAGGGACCGGCACAGAAGCATCTGCTGCTGCTGCTGCTGCTGCTGTGTCTCCCTCTGCTGCTACCGCTGCTGATTCTTCCGCTGAAACAGCAGCAGTGTCAGCACCACCAACAGCACTGTCCGCACCACCAGCAGCAACACCCGCACCTTGAGTCGCATCCTTTGGCCCCCCAGCCCCATTCCCAGCCCCGCCTTGCTCCTCCACCTCCTCTTCATCCTCCGGCAAAGTATGAAACGGCGGCACAGCCGTCCCAACCGCCCGCAGAAACGTCATCCTAAGCCCGTTCAAATATGCCTCGGAGAACAAAAACCAATCCGTCCACACCTGAATCACTTTCAACACTCGGTCCTTCAGAGCCTCAGCAGTCATCCTGCCCGAGACCGCGTTCAAACAGTCGTTAAAACTCTCCATCACGTCGGGTAAATACCCCTGGAAAGCCGTGCGGTAGGCCGACGCGTTCCGGACTGGCGCCGACGAGTTGTGGAGGATATCCGATACAAGCATCAGGCGCGCGACTTTAAGGGGGATGGGCGTTTCGAGGAGTGTGAGGGACTCAATAAGCACTTCGACTATGTCTGTGGCTGCTTCTGCGTGGTCGAGAGCAAATGCCATGGCGTTGCAGATGTCCTCCCTCTCCAGAGTGAGTCGCCTCAGCAAATCCTCAAACTTGTCCCGCTGCTTGTCCGTCAGGGAGTGCTCCTGGAGAGATGAGGGACAGGGGGACAGGGGGACAGGGGTTGGGATGACAAGAAACGAAACAAAGCAGTGGTTCAGAGTGGTGGAGGGGAGTGAGCGACTGTATGAGCACTTCAACCACGTCGGTGCGTGTTTCTGCGTGGTCGAGAGCAAATGCCATGGCGTTACAGATGTCCTCCCTCTCCAGAGTGAGTCACCTCAGCATCTCCAACCCTGCAGGACCCGCCCTTGTGCAGTATGGTGGGCCCTACGAGCTTGTCCGTCAGAGAAAAGGGAGTAGAGGTGCAATCCCTATAATCGCCCTTCTCTTAGCCTACGTTGCCCCTATGAATTTACCTTTGGCTTCCCTGCAGCGTAGGTGGACCCGCCCTTGTCCTTGTGCAGAATGGTGGGGCCCCAAGAGTTGCAGGGCTTGTGCAATCCAGGAAGAGGGGGCAACAGCGTACCTATGTTCCTCCCTCACTTAGACGCACCTTTGGCTACGCAACTATATTCCCCTTCCCCTATAAAGCTACACACCTTTGGCTTCCCAGCAGCGTAGGTGGACCTGCCCTTGTCCTTATCCATTATGGTGGGGCCCACGAGCTCGTCTGTCTTGGGCAGAGGCGGCGGAATCCACCTGCCGCTGCCTGTGCCTGCCCCGACTTCTGTCCGCTCTCCCAACTCACCCCTTGCAATACCCTCTGTCACCCCTCTGACGCACCTTGGGCTTCCCTGCAGCGTAGGTGGACCCGCCCTTGTCCTTGTCCAGTATAGTGGGCCCCACGAGCTCGTCCGTCTTGGGCAGAGGGGGAGGGATCCACCTGCCGCTGCCTGTGATCATGATGTAGGGGTCCGTGCGCCACCGCTGTAGGGTATCGCCCTGTTGTGACACACACACATACAGAGAAAAAAGAGACAGGTTATACCGAGACTGAGTACAGAGCCTTATAGAGGAGGTGGGATCCACCTGCTGCTGCCTGTGATCATGATGTAGGGGTCCGTGCGCCACCGCTGCAGCGTTTCGCCCTGCTATAACAGACACGGCATACAGGAAACACAAAACGAGACAGGTTATAACGAGTACAGACTGGCTGCTAAAAGTGGCGGAGCTGCCTGTGATCATGATGCAGGGATCCGTGCGCTACCGCTGCAGCGTGTCTCCCTGTGATGCCGCACACATCAGTACAGGAAACAGAAGCGAAACAGAAAAAGAATGATATTGAGACCAAGTACAGAGCTGGGTTGAAGGGGTGGGATCCAACTGCTGCTGCCTGTGTCCTTGATGTGGGTTTCTGTGCTGTGCACCACCCCTGTGCGCCACCGCTGTGGCCCCGCAGGGGAGAAGAGCCAAGCACAAACACCCAAGAGAGAGAGAGAGAGAGAGAGAGAGAGAGAGAGAGAGAGAGAGAGAGAGAGAGAGAGAGAGAGAGAGAGAGAGAGAGAGAGAGAGAGAGAGAGAGAGAGAGAGAGCTCACCTGGGCGAAGAGGAGCTCACCTGGGCGAAGAGGAGCTCACCTGGGCGAAGAGGAGCTCACCTGGGCGAAGAGGAGCTCACCTAGGCGAAGAGGAGCTCACCTGGGCAAGAGGAGCTCACCTGGGCGAAGAGGAGCTCACCTGGGTGAAGAGGAGCTCACCTGGGCGAAGAGGAGCTCACCTGGGCGAAGAGGAGCTCACCTGGGCGAAGAGGAGCTCACCTGGGCGAAAGAGAAGACACGCCAGACGTAGTAGGGGTGGTCGGGCGAGTCGAGGTCAAAGAGGACGGAAAAAAGCGGGTTGCCCGCCTTGCCTCACCGTACAGCTTAAAGTGTAGCAGAACAACAGGGGAGACGCACTCCAAAATAAGAACCTACTTGGGCGAAGGAGAAGACGCGCCAGACGTAGTAGGTGTGGTCTGGCGACCCAAGGTCAAAGAGGAAGGATAAGAGCGGGTTGCCGCGGCCGCGCTCCATGATGGCCTGCTCCAACATGCACCCGTCGTCCAGCACGTACTGCACGTACAGCACGTACAGCGCCAGCCTGTACAGTGCCCACTACTCTAAGTGGTATGGTACGATGAGGTCACCATGCACCCGTCGTCCAGCCCACAGGGAGTCAGGGTAACAGGGGAGAGGCACTTAAAGATAGGAACCTACCTGCGCGAAAGAGAAGACGCGCCACACGTAATAGGTATGATCCGGCGAGCCGAGGTCAAAGAGGAAGGAGAAGAGCGGGTTGCCGCGGCCGCGCTCCATGATGGCCTGCTCCAACATGCACCCGTCGTCCAGCACGTACAGCGCCAGCGTGTCGATGACGTGGCGCTGATGTGGATCCTTGGGCGGGACTATCTTGATGTCTGGCACATTGGGTGTGATGACCTGAGAGAGGGGGGGAGTGAACACAGGGTAAAAAAGGGGGGAACAAGAGGTGTGAAAAGAGTGAAGAAGGGGCGACTTAAAGAGGAAAGAACGAGCAAAGCAAGGGTGTATGCCAGACCATGGGGAGTGCAAGGCATTGGATGAGGAAAGAGTGTGAGGCGATGCGCGAGAGGGGAAGAGAAGAGACGTGCTTTGAAGCGACGCAACCCATGGACCGTGAATCTTCGCTGAACACTCACCACCTCAGCGTTCTCTGCTCCCAGGCTAGCCATGTTGCTGCAGCTGTCGCAGCAGCAGCAACGGCCGTACCACGCTACACATGCACTCCACTGTAGAAGGACACATGCATGCACTATGGATGGAACATGAACGTTCACTGAACACGAACTTTCACTGCACACTCACCACTTCCGCGTTCTCTGCTCCCAGGCTCGCCATGTTAATCGCAGCAGCCGCTGCAGCAGCAGCGGCGGCAGCAGCAGCAAGCGGGTCAGCACTGCTAGCAATAACAGCGCTGTTGGCAGCAACAGCCTCTCCTGAGTTGGGCGGCAGCTCCTTGGGCCGAACAGCCATCTGGCCGGGGGGAGGCGCCGGGAGGGCCGAGGCGGGCAGAGAGACGGCCTTGCCCCACCCTATGCGGATTTCATACTCATACACCACCATGCCTGGTTTGTGTAAGGTAGTTGGTGGGTGGGGAGGCAGGGTAGATACAAGTGACGAGTTTTGCGACGACCCAAGAGGCAGAGAGACGGCCTTGCCCCACCCTATGCGGATCTCATACCTGTACACCACCATGCCTGGTTTGTGGGAAGGGGAGGGAGAGTTGGGGATTAAAGGCAAGGAGGTTGGAAAGCATTGAGCCTCACAAGGCAGAGAGACAGCCTTGCCCCACCAGGAACTGCAGGTAGGAACTGCACCCACCCACCCTATGGGATCTCATACTTGTACAAATATCGTACTCATACATCACCATGCCTGCTTGCGTCTGGTGGGATGGGGAGAGTGGGAGGGGGTGGGTTTGAGTCGTCTCAAACTCCCTACATTTCTTCTAGCCTCCACCACCACTTCATCCAACTTCCACCATCCTCCACAACCTCCACCATTCCCACCAGCCTCCACCGTTCCCCCCCTCAACCTCAGCCATTCCCCACCAACCTCCAGCACTCTTCCCCCCTTCCACCATTCCCCACCATTCCCCACCATTCCCCACCATTCCCCACCATTCCCCACCATTCCCCCCTTCAATCACCACTTCCCACAAGCCCTCTCCCCCTCCCCCATATCCCAGCACGTACAGTCCATCTCGTTCTTGGCCTTGGCAGCATCGGCGCGCTTCATAAACGCCACAAAGCCGCAGTTGCGCTGCCGCCGGTGCTCCTCCTCAGTGCGCGGCCACATGATCTTCACACTCGCTATCGGCCCAAACCGCCCAAACGTCCTCAGGAGAAAATTCTCGTCGACCTGACCAGGGATGCAAAGGAGAGAGGAGGAAGAGAGAAGAGGAACGGAGCGAAGGAAACGATAGCAAGGGTTAAAGCCTAGCGCGTTCACATGAACTTGACACTCTCTATCAACCCAAACTGATCAAATGCCTTTTGCAGAAAATTAGCGTTCATGTGGGATGATTTTAAACTAGTGTAATGCCACCGCTGCCCGAAGTCCTATCATGTGAAATGTCTCCCACCGGATCTGAGGCTGGATGGAAGTGATCTTAATCGGCCATAGAAGATTTGAGGCACATGGGATGAGCTTGTTGGACGCCTCATGCATTGCAATAGGCATTCGCATGAGGCATCCATCAAACCCATCCCCTACACTCCCAACCCTCAATGACCTACTAAGATTACTTCCATCTTAGCTCAGATCCGGTGAACGACATTACATGTGGTAAGACATTGGGCAGAAGTGGCACGACACTAGTTTAGCAGGATATCCTCAAGCCGGTCAAGTCAAGAGGACGTGAGGGAAGAAGTGGGAACGTGGGGGCGGACGTGAGTGTGAGGAACCGCAAGCACAACGGAAGAGTGAAAGCACGAATCACGATGACATCACACCGCCACCACTCACCACTCCTAATTTATAACTCACCATTACTGCGTACTATGTTCTCACTCGCTGACAACTCTCATTACCACCTGTTGCATGCATGCCACACCCCAGGCCGTGGTGAAGGGGCGATTCGCTGACCACTCCAATCTGACAACTCATTGTAATGTACTCTGTTCTTACTCACTGGCAACGCCCATCAACTGGTGCATTGCAAGCCACACCCCAGGCCGTGCTTCACGCCTTACCTTGCGGGGAAGATTGCCGACATAGAGATTGGTGGTGAGGGGGTCTCCCCCATCGTCAGTAGAAACGGTGGTGGTACCCGGAGGCGTGGCAATGAGGGGAAAGGTTGCATTGCAAGCCACAACCAGGCCGTGCTTCACGCCTTACCTTGGGGGACAGGTTGCCGACATAGAGATTGGTGGTGAGGGGGTCTCCCCCATCGTCAGTAGAAACGGTGGTGGTACCCGGAGGCGTGGCAATGAGGGGAAAGGTTGCATTGCAAGCCACAACCAGGCCGTGCTTCACGCCTTACCTTGGGGGACAGGTTGCCAACATAGAGATTGGTGGTGAGGGGGTCTCCCCCATCGTCGGTGGAAACGGTGGTGATGCCCGGAGGCGTGGCAATAAGAGGCGGCCCTGTGTCGAACTTGGATGGCTGCATTCATTGAGAGCAAATGTATGGGATTTGGGGAAACAGGGGAAAGGGGAGGAGGGTGAGAGGGGGGGGGGGGGGGGGGAGAAAGTCAGTGCAGTTGAAAACCAAACAGGGATGAGGGACAAGAGGCGTAAATGAAATATATATTTAGGGCCTAGACACAGCAGCTTGAGAAAAGAATATAATCAAAGGAAAAAAGGGGGAACACGGGATGGGAGGGAGGGAGAACGAACAACAGAAGATGGGCAGTAGAACCCCCAAAGTCTAGATGACAGCAGCAGACCTTGCCATGCCCTCACTCCCCAACATAGAAGGCTTCCCCACATTGCCACACAGCAGCAGAGAGGGCACAGAGCACGAAAACTCACCCTCCTTCTAACCCCATCTGGAAACGGCTGCAGCATATCCGTGCCCTCACTCCCCAGCAGCGACGGCTGCCCATCATTGCCATACGGCTTGCCTGCCGCCCTTGCTTCCGCTCGCTCCTTGAGCTCCTTCTCCCTCTGCTCGCGCAGTTCCTGCTCCTGCTTCAGCTCCTGCATAAAGAAATCGATGTTGCGTGGCTTCTTCTGCTCCTTTGACTTTGGAACGGGCTCGGCTGGTTTCTCTGGTTCATCCACGCCGAACGGCTGTGTAATGGAAGGGAGGGAGGGAGGGAGGGAGGGAGAGAGGGAGGGAGGGAGGGAGGGAGGGAGGGAGGGAGGGAGGGAGCGACAGAGGGACAAGGGGAGGGAAGGAGGGAGGGACAGAGGGAGGGATGGAGGGAGGGAGAGAGGAGAGAAAAAGAAGTCGAGTAGTTTGGATGATGGTCTCATTGGTTCACACAGACTAAAGAAGATAGGAGAAAAGGTAGGAGAGGGGATAGTCGGGGAGGGCGGTGAGGGGAGGGAGGCAGGCCGGGGGGGGGGGGGGGGGGGGGGGAGGGGGAGGAGGAAGGACGGAGGAGGGGAGAGCAAACAGAAAGCGAGCGAGAGGATATTTGGATCATGGTCTCGGAAATTTATATGTATTGAGAAGGACAATGGAAAAAACGTGGGAGAGAGGACAAACGGGGGGGTGGGCGGGGAAGGGAGGGGGTGTGAGGGAGAGAGCAAGACAAGGGCCAACAAGGCTTGAAAGTGACTTGATAAAGGAAGAATGCTTTTAAGACTCTGAGAAGAATGATGAAGAGGTAGGTAGGAAAGTTGCTGTGCACTCACTCAATTGATATGGCACTCCCATGGATGTACATGTAACTTTGAAGCGCCTAGAAAAATGGCCTCAAATGAACATGCCACAACTGAATATTGACTAAAAACGTGAGTTCAAAATGACAATCCCATGGTATGGTTGTAGTGTCCTCCCCCCCGTCTCCAACCCCCACCCTCACCCCACCCCCACCCCCCACAACCCACCCCCAACCCGCACCCCCACCTCCCCACCCGCACCCCCGCTGCAGTGCACCTACATTCTTGTCCTTGGATAGAATTCCCGCAAGCGGGCTTTGGGACGGAGGTGGCAGGAATGACGGAACATATCTGCCATGCATACAGCACCACACACGCGGCGGGCAGAGGGACAAACGAAGGCGAGGCGAGGGACGAGCACAGGAAGGGGCACAGGAAGGAGCACGAGAAGGAGAACAGGAAGGAGCACAGGAAGGAGCACAAGAGGAGACTCGGACTCGAAGAGAGAAAACGAAGGCAGGCAAAACGGATAGGGACGAAGACAAAACAAGAGGCGGAAAGGACGGCGGGAGGAGGGGGGTGGAAGGGGAAAACGGCGTCGGGGAAGGGAGCGTGGGGGAATAGGGAAAATGGTACGCCATTCGGCAGTGGGGTGGGGCGGGGAAAAGTGTGAGGGGTGATTTGGTACGGAAAGGGACGGAGAGTAATGTCATCTCCAAATCCCTGCCACAAGTAACATCACCACACTATAATTCCCATCGACCACCTCTAACCCGTCATGCTAACAGGACCCCCCCGGCAGAAACGAGTGGATGCGAAAACAGCAACGAAATGGATCCGCGAATTCGACAGGTTAAATCTCCTCAGAGAAAACCGTCGTCTAAGCCTTCCAGGTGCGATCGCATTATCCTAAAGGTCTCCAGGCCTTTCTGATCTGAGATCTGATACGATATGATACGCTGTGGGAAGAGGAATGTTGGACAGGAGGAGGCGCCGGAAGGCCTCTCACCTCGCTGTGGCCTTTTTGGAAGCGCTTCCAGGTTCTGCAAAGGAGATATGTTCGGCATAAATGGGTACATCACAGCCTATTAAAATTAAGAACGGAGCCTCTTTTAACGAGTTTGTCGCAACCTCTAGCGACAAGGGGAAAGAAACCCACTTGAAATTAGAGTCTCCCGCGAAGAGGAAGCTACCGGGTTAGGGACTACATTGGCGTGATTTTAACGACGAACGAAAGCAGGTAGGCAGCAGAGATGAGGATAGACGTGATGGGATGCGAAAAAGGCCCCAATAAAAATATCCAGCCGCACGAAAAAGGGTTGAAAGCCGCATCAAGAGATGCTTAACTAAGCAACTGTACCTTCCCCCGGTGTGTCGTGCTTGGCGTTGGGATTGATGGTTCCTCCTCGGACAAACGCCTTCGGTTTCTTATCGTCCACTTTAAAAGACTCGACAAATTCATCGTACACACGCGCCGCCTCCTCCGCTTCCCGCTGCAAGACGAGACATCAGAGTAGCAGAGTGGTAAGTGGTTGGAAAAAAACGTTAAGGTCACACATTAAATCAGGAACAAAATGATTCTGAGCTGCAATTGACCGAAGGCTGGAGCAACATTTGAGACCTAAAAATATCAAGAACGCAAAAGAGATTAGAATATAAACGGGGAGAAACCATTTCAAGTCCACCAATAGAGGCGACTTACCTTCTTTTTCGCCTCCTCCTCGCGATGCTTCTGAAACGGGGTTTTCTTCTTCGATAACGAAAACGCCTTCATCGTGGCTCAGCGAGCGGCTCGATCGTCGCATCAATCAACAGCTAACGCAGTAGAAGCCTGATCACTGATACTAAGAACGAAGGTAAGGCTTGATCCGTGCGGCTCTGACTGCTATGTTCTCTTGTTGGGTTTGTGATTGCTGGTTGCTGAGGGAAATGACCTTGCTTGCACGCGATTGGCTGGGACAAACGCCTTGGGATGGTTTTCTCCATCACCTCGATTGTGTCGGGTGTGAGGTGGCTGGTATCGAGAATAATGATGGGCTTGATACAGTCACAATAATGGTAAAAATATAATCCACAAAAAAAACTGTTATGAAGTTAAATTGGCCTAGAGTGACTTGATTGAATTTCGGGAGATAAGATTACTAGATAATTACAAATTTTTAGTCAGTGGTACGGATTTCCGTAACAGTTTGCTTTTGGTGAAAGAAAAATATGACAAACAGCAAGCATATCACAGGCATAGTGACAGGCACAACTAATATGTTTCCAGTTATCTTTTAGATAACATCAAAAGCACAGCCATAATAGCACTACACAGCAGGGCGTCTACTGGCGCAGCTCCTCCCTGATGTAGTCAGCTTCGGCGGTAACCGCAATGTCCACTGAGTGGTGGTGGTGGAGCACACACCGCACATCACCGTACAGTTTGGTAAACAAATAGCGGAGAACCGTACACAAATGCCAAACCGCACATCACTGTGTCGCGAGACCGTTTGGCGGGACGTAGGTCTGAAATGCGAGATTTGGTTTGACTGACAAGACACTGTTTCTAGTGCGATCCGAAAAGCTCCAGGGGGCGGGATTTCTGACTGAGAGCGTTGCCCTGGGCAGGATTTCTTCGGTGATACACATGATGCTCAATCCCTGCACACGAATTTGCCCTCACCGGATGAAACTCTGCAACCGTGTTTTTTTCCCCAGCCAGTTGCACCCTCGTTACAAGCACGTCACGCAAGCTGCAGTGGTTCTGAACCAAAAGTAACGAACATACCGAAGTCAAACTAAAGAGACTGAAGTCAAAATGTCAACGCGTAAGTTACAATTAATTTATAAGCACCTGACCAATCCCATTTTGCTAGCTGCGAATTGACGAAACTTATGCGAAATTCACGTTCCGGCTTAAGCGCCCCCTTCACAAGGCAACCCGGAGTGGCTCAAACGGGCATCATGTGTAGTGATTTTTTTTCCACTGCTGCGCGGAGTCTCTGTATTGTTTTCCTGTTTTGCAGGTTTCTAACCCTGATTAGAATCAGTTTCAAACAAAATCAATGTCACAAAACTAAACTTATATTTTAGAGTGCAACCAAGGCAGTGGTAAAACTACAACACCAAGGAAAATCGTAAACTACCAGGTCCTTCGACGCTGCTCTTCAGCCGAATCCACCACTTCGGTCTTCACCCCTCTTGGCCGCTAGGAGCAAGCTCCTAGCGTTTCACCCGTACACCGCGTTGAGGTGGGGGCTATTCGTACGGGACACCTGTGGGAAACAGGGGCAAAAGATTTAGATTGTCCCGCCACCGGGCAGAGAACCACCTCAAATATCCGGATGTCAGATGTCAGGATGAAGGCGCCTCGAGTCTGGGGTGCTCCGCGGTTGCTAAGATGGGAAACCCATCGACACACCTTACCACCCAACCACCCACCACCTGTACCACGAGTCTGTACCACGAGCGCGCGTCCTATCTGCACCTGTACCACGTAATCGCTCCTACTCGCCACCCCGTCGCTCCTACTCGTCACCCGCGTACCTTACCAACATTACCCACTCTCACCCTTCAGACGTGCCGTGCCGTCCCGTTCTTCTGCTCCTCCGCCATGGCCTAGAAAGGAAGGAGAGGGACAACACGGTGAAAGCTCCAGCGGCATCCCCTCCACGAAACCTGCGCACTAAAACACGAAAAAGCGTTAGTGAAGCTGATAAAAACAACATGAAAACAAGAGCAGAAAAAACAGGAAAAGCAAAAACAAGAAATCCCAACAAAGCGCGAAAAGGCACAATAAAGCGTGACAAAGTTAGAGAGACTCATCCGTGTGCTCCCGTCCGTTGTGCTCCTCCTCCGTTGACCTGCACCAAAGAGGAAGAAACGAAAAGCGTTAGCAAAACTGATGAATAAGAGCAAAAAGAACATGAAATGCAAAGATGACAAGAAAGCACGACAAATCGCGAAAAACCGCGAGATAGGTCGAGAGACTTACCCATGCTTTCGTTCCTCCGTCCGTTGTGCTCCCGACCGCTGTGCTCCTCCTCCTGAGGAGGGAAGAAACAGAGAGAGACAGAAAGGAAAAAATGATAACACCCGCGGCCTTCCCACGCTTAACCTGCAGCAAAAAGGAAGAAAGGAAAAAACGTTAGTAAAACCGATGAAAAGATAAGAAAGAACAAGAACAACAAAGATGACAAGAAAGCACGACAAAGCGCGACAAAGCACGACATAAGGAGAGAGGCTTACCCGTGCTTATGTTCCTCCAACCGTTGTGCTCCTCCTCCATTGACCTTAGGAGACAAGACAGAGAGAGAGAGACAGAAGGGAAAATATGATAACACCAGCAGCCTCCCCTCGCGTAACCTGCACCAAAAAGGAAGAAACAAAAAGGAGTTAGTAAACGTGCGAAAGAAAACAGCGAAAAGCGGAAACGAAACATACCGTTTCTATCTTCAGGTCGGTGTTGCTTCATTGCGGCTTCGCCTGCACCGCTAACAACGACATTACCCGTTACCGCGTTAAAAGAATAAAACAAAAGGACGACAAAAGCACGAAATAAAGCACGACCAAAAGCGCGGCAGAGCTCGAGAGACTTACAAACGGTTACCTTTGTAGCCACGATCCGTTGCGCCTTGTGCTCCTCCGCCGCTTCCGTGGGGAGGAAGAAGAGAGAAGAAAAAAAGGTGAGTAAACACCTTGACCGTTGTGCTCCTCCGCCCTTGGTCTGAATTGACGAAAGAGAGGACGAGAGGAATTAACCGTCTCGCTCGGGTGCGAGGACGTGAGATGCGCCTCTCTCCTCGCCGTGAAGTCGCCCCTCGCCGTGAAGACGCCGGGGAGGCCCCGTGAAGCCACGACACGCACGCATGTCGAGGTTGTCACGGAAGTCGTGCCACGTCGTTGACACGAAGCGTGAGGCCGGCGGAGGGACGCCAACGACCCTCATGCCTTCATGCCCCCATGCAGTCATGCCCCTCATGCCCTCATGCCCTCACGCCCTCATGCCCTCATGCCCTCATGCAGTCATGCCCTCATGCCCTCACACCCTCATGCCCTCATGCCCTCATGCCCTCACGACCTCATGCCCTCATGCCCTCATGCCCTCACGCCCTCCTGCACTCATGCCCTCATGCCCTCATGCCCTCATGCCCTCATGCCCTCATGCCCTCATGCCCTCATACCCTCATGCACTCATGCCCTCATGCCCTCACGCCCTTATGCCCTCATGCCCTCATGCCCTCATGCCCTCATGCCCTCATGCCCTCATACACTCATGCCCTCATGCCCTCATGCCCCCATGCAGTCATGCCCCTCATGACCTCATGCCCTCACGCCCTCATGCCCTCATGCCCTCATGCAGTCATGCGCTCATGCCCTCACGCCCTCATGCCCTCATGCCCTCATGCCCTCACGCACTCATGCCCTCATGCCCTCATGCCCTCACGCCCTCATGCATTCATGCTCTCATGCCCTCATGCCCTCATGCACTCATGCCCTCATGCCCTCACGCCCTCATGCACTCATGCCCTCATGCCCTCACGCCCGTATCCCCTCATGCCCTCATGCCCTCATGCCCTCATGCCCTCATACACTCATGCCCTCATGCCCACATGCCCTCATGCCCTCATGCCCTCATGCCCTCATGCCCTCATGCCGTCATGCCCTCATGCCCTCATGCCGTCATGCCGTCATGCCGTCACGCCCTCATGCCCTCATGCCCTCATGCCCTCATGCACTCATGCCGTCATGCCCTCATGCCATCATGCCCTCACGCCCTCATGCCCTCATGCCCCCATGCACTCATGCCCTCATGCCCTCACGCCCTCATGCCCTCATGCCCTCATGCCCTCACGCCCTCATGCCCTAATGCCCTCATGCCCTCACGCCCTCATGCCCTCATGCCCTCATGCACTCATGCACTCATGCCCTCACGCCCTCATGCCCTCATGCCCTCATGCCCTCACGCCCTCATGCCCTAATGGCCTCATGCCCTCACGCCCTCATGCCCTCATGCCCTCATGCACTCATGCACTCATGCCCTCATACACTCATGCCCTCATGCCCTCACGCCCTCATGCCCTCACGCCCCCTTATCCTGACGCCCTTATGCCCTCATGCCCTCATGCCTTCATGCCCTCATGCCCTCACGCCCTCACGCCCTCATGCCCTCATGCCCTCACGCCCTCACGCCCTCATGCCCTCATGCCCTCATGCCCTCGTGCCCTCATGCCTCATGCCCTCATGACCTCACCCCCTCATGCCCCCATGCCCTCATGCCCTCATGCACTCATGCCCTCATGCCCTCATGCCCTCAGGCCCTCACGCCCTCATGCCCTCATGCTCTCTGGCCCTCATGCCCTCATGCCCTCACGCCCTCATGCATTCATGCTCTCATGCCCTCATGCCCTCATGCACTCATGCCCTCATGCCCTCACGCCCTCATGCATTCATGCCCTCATGCCCTCACGCCCTTATGCCCTCATGCCCTCATGCCCTCATGCCCTCATACACTCATGCCCTCATGCCCTCACGCCCTCATGCCCTCATGCCCTCATGCCCTCATGCCCTCATGCCCTCATGCCCTCATGCCCTCATACCCTCATGCCCTCATGCCCTCACACCCTCACGCCCTCATGCCCTCATGCCTCCATGCCCCCATGCCCTCATGCCCTCATGCCCTCATGCCCTCATGCCCTCATGCCCTCACGCCCTCACGCCCTCATGCCCTCATGCCCTCATGCCCTCATGCCCTCATGCCCTCATGTTCTCATGCCCTCATGCCCTCATGCCCTCATGCCCTCATTCCCTTGTGCGCTCATGCCCTCATGCCCTCATGCCCTCATGCCCTTATGCCCTCATGCCCTCATGCTCTCAGGCCCTCACGCCCTCTATCCTTCATGCTCTCATGCCCTCATTCCCTCATGCCCTCATGCCCTCATGCACTCATGCCCTCATGCCCTCATGCCCTCATGCCCTCATGCCCTCATGCCCTCATACCCTCAGGCCCTCATGCCCTCATGCCCTCATGCCCTCATGCCCTCATGCCCTCACGCCCTCATGCCTTCATGCCCTCATGCACTCATGCACTCATGCGCTCATGCACTCATGCCCTCATGCCCTCACGCGCTCATGCACTCATGCACTCATGCCCTCATGCCCTCACGCCCTCATGCACACATGCACTCATGCCCTCACGCCCTCATGCCCTAATGCCCTCATTCCCTCATGCCCTCTTGCCGTCTTGCCCTCATGCCCTCACGCCCTCATGCACACATGCACTCATGCCCTCACGCCCTCATGCCCTAATGCCCTCATTCCCTCATGCCCTCATGCCTTCATGCCCTCATGCCCTTAGGCCCTCATGCTCTCATGCCCTCATGCCCTCATGCATTCATGCACTCATGCACTCATACCCTCATGACCTCATGCCTTCATGCCCTCACGCCCACATGCCTTCATGCCCTCATACACTCATGCACTCATGCCCTCATGCACTCATGTACTCATGCACTCATGCACTCATGCACTCATGCCCTCATGCCCTCATGCCCTCATGCCCTCACGCCCTAATGCCTTCATGCCCTCATGAACTCATGCACTCATGCCCTCATGCCCTCATGCACTGATGCCCTCATGCCCTCACGCCCTCATGAACTCATGCCCTCATGCCCTCATGCCCTCATGCACTCATGCACTCATGCCCTCATGCCCTCATGCCCTCATTCCTCATGCCCTCACGCCCTCATGCCATCATGCCCTCATTCCCTGACGCCCTCATGCCCTCATGCCCTCATGCCCTCATGCCCTCAGGCCCTCATTCCTTCATGCCCTCATGCCGTCATGCCCTCATGCACTCATGCACTCATGCACTCACCCCTCATGCCCTCATGCCCTCATGCACTCATGCCCTCATGCCCTCACGCCCTCATGCCCTCATGCCCTCATGCACTCATGCCCTTATGCCCTCATGCCCTCAACCTCTCAGGCCCTCACACCCTCACGCCATCATGCCCTCATGCCCTCATGCCCTCATGCCCTCACGCCCTCATACCCTAATGCCCTCTTGCCCTCATGCCCTCATGCCCTCATGCCGTCATGCCCTCATGCACTCATGCACTCATGCCCTTATGCCCTCATGCCCTCATTCCTCATGCCCTCACGCCCCCATCCATCAGGCCCTCATACCCTGACGCCCTCATGCCCTCATGCCCTCATGCCCTCATGCCCTCAGGCCCTCATTCCTTGATGCCCTCATACCCTCATGTACTCATGCACTCATGCCCTCATGCCCTCATTCCCTCATGCCCTCATGCACTCATGCCCCATGCCCTCATGCCCTCATGCCCTCAAGCCCTCACGCCCTCATGCCCTCATGCCCTCATGCACTCATGCCCTTATGCCCTCATGCCCTCATGCTCTCAGAACCTCACACCCTCACGCCATCATGCCCTCATGCCCTCATGCCCTCATGCCCTCATGCTGTCCTGCCGTCATCCCCTCATGCCCTCACGCCCTCATACCCTCATGCCCTCATGCCCTCACGCCCTCATGCCCTCATGCCCTCATGCCCTCATGCACTCATGCCCTCATACCCTCATGCCCTCAGGCCCTCATGCACTCACGCCCTCATGCCCTCATGCCCTCATGCCCTCATGCACTCATGCCCTCGTGCCCTCATGCCCTCATGCCCTCAGGCCCTCATGCCCTCATGCCCTCATGCCCTCATGCCCTCATGCCCTCATGCATTCATGCACTCATGCACTCATGCCCTCATGACCTCATGCCTTCATGCCCTCACGCCCTCGTGCTTTCATGCCCTCATGCACTCATGCACTCATGCCCTCATGCACTCATGTACTCATGCACTCATGCACTCATGCCCTCATGCCCTCATGCCCTCATGCCCTCATGCCCTAATGCCTTCATGCCCTTATGCACTCATGCACTCATGCCCTCATGCACTCATGCCCTCATGCCCTCACGCCCTCATGCACTCATGCACTCATGCCCTCATGCCCTCACGCCCTCATGCACTCATGCCTTCATGCTCTCATGCACTCATGCAATCATGCCCTCATGCCCTCATGCCCTCACGCCCTCACGCCCTCATGCCCTCATGCCCTCATGCCCTCATGCCCTCACGCCCTCATACCCTAATGCCCTCTTGCCCTCATGCCCTCATGCCCTCATGCCGTCATGCCCTCATGCACTCATGCACTCATGCCCTCATGCCCTCATTCCTCATGCCCTCACGCCCTCATGCCATCATGCCCTCATGCCCTGACGCCCTCATGCCCTTATGCCCTCATACCCTCATGCCCTCATGCCCTCATGTACTCATGCACTCATGCATTCATGCCCTCATGCCCTCATTCCTCATGCCCTCACGCACCCATCCATCATGCCCTCATGCCCTGACGCCCTCATGCCCTCATGCCCTCATACCCTCATGCCCTCAGGCGCTCATTCCTTGATGCCCTCATACCCTCATGTACTCATGCACTCATGCACTTATACCCTCATGCCCTCATGCCCTCATGCACTCATGCCCCATGCCCTCATGCCCTCATGCCCTCAAGCCCTCATGCCCTCATGCCCTCATGCCCTCATGCCCTCATGCCCTCACGCCCTCACGCCCTCATGCCCTCATGCCCTCATGCCCTCATGCCCTCATGCCCTCATGCCCTGATGCCCTGATGCCCTCATGCCCTCATGCCCTCGTGCCCTCATGCCCTCGTGCCCTCATGCCTCACCCCCTCATGCCCTCATGCCCTCATGCCCTCATGCCCTCATGCCCCATGCCCTCATGCCCTCATGCCCTCAAGCCCTCATGCCCTCATGCCCTCATGCCCTCATGCCCTCATGCCCTCATGCCCTCATGCCCTCATGCTGTCATGCCGCAATCCCCTCATGCCCTCACGCCCCCATACCCTCATGCCCTCATGCCCTCACGCCCTCATGCACTCATGCCCTCATGCCCTCACGCCCTCATGCACTCATGCACTCATGCCCTCATGCCCTCACGCCCTCATGCACTCATGCCCTCATGCTCTCATGCACTCATGCAATCATGCCCTCATGCCCTCATGCCCTCACGCCCTTATGCCCTCATGCCCTCACGCCCTGATGCCCTCATGCCCTCACGCACTCATGCCCTCATGCCCTCATGCCCTCACGCCCTAATGCGTTCATGCTCTCATGCCCTCATGCCCTCATACACTCATGCCCTCATGCCCTCACGCCCTCATGAACTCATGCCCTCATGCCTTCACGTCCTTATGCCCTCATGCCCTTATGCCCTCATGCCCTCATGCCCTCATACACTCATGCCCTCACGCCCACATGCCCTCATGCCCTCATGCCCTCATGCACTCATGCCCTCATACCCTCATGCCCTCAGGCCCTCATGCACTCACGCCCTCATGCCCTCATGCCCTCATGCCCTCATGCACTCATGCCCTCGTGCCCTCATGCCCTCATGCCCTCAGGCCCTCATGCCCTCATGCCCTCATGCCCTCATGCCCTCATGCCCTCATGCATTCATGCACTCATGCACTCATGCCCTCATGACCTCATGCCTTCATGCCCTCACGCCCTCGTGCTTTCATGCCCTCATGCACTCATGCACTCATGCCCTCATGCACTCATGTACTCATGCACTCATGCACTCATGCCCTCATGCCCTCATGCCCTCATGCCCTCAAGCCCTAATGCCTTCATGCCCTTATGCACTCATGCACTCATGCCCTCATGCACTCATGCCCTCATGCCCTCACGCCCTCATGCACTCATGCACTCATGCCCTCATGCCCTCACGCCCTCATGCACTCATGCCTTCATGCTCTCATGCACTCATGCAATCATGCCCTCATGCCCTCATGCCCTCACGCCCTCACGCCCTCATGCCCTCATGCCCTCATGCCCTCATGCCCTCACGCCCTCATACCCTAATGCCCTCTTGCCCTCATGCCCTCATGCCCTCATGCCGTCATGCCCTCATGCACTCATGCACTCATGCCCTCATGCCCTCATTCCTCATGCCCTCACGCCCTCATGCCATCATGCCCTCATGCCCTGACGCCCTCATGCCCTTATGCCCTCATACCCTCATGCCCTCATGCCCTCATGTACTCATGCACTCATGCATTCATGCCCTCATGCCCTCATTCCTCATGCCCTCACGCACCCATCCATCATGCCCTCATGCCCTGACGCCCTCATGCCCTCATGCCCTCATACCCTCATGCCCTCAGGCGCTCATTCCTTGATGCCCTCATACCCTCATGTACTCATGCACTCATGCACTTATACCCTCATGCCCTCATGCCCTCATGCACTCATGCCCCATGCCCTCATGCCCTCATGCCCTCAAGCCCTCATGCCCTCATGCCCTCATGCCCTCATGCCCTCATGCCCTCACGCCCTCACGCCCTCATGCCCTCATGCCCTCATGCCCTCATGCCCTCATGCCCTCATGCCCTGATGCCCTCATGCCCTCATGCCCTCATGCCCTCGTGCCCTCATGCCCTCGTGCCCTCATGCCTCACCCCCTCATGCCCTCATGCCCTCATGCCCTCATGCCCTCATGCCCCATGCCCTCATGCCCTCATGCCCTCAAGCCCTCATGCCCTCATGCCCTCATGCCCTCATGCCCTCATGCCCTCATGCCCTCATGCCCTCATGCTGTCATGCCGCCATCCCCTCATGCCCTCACGCCCCCATACCCTCATGCCCTCATGCCCTCACGCCCTCATGCACTCATGCCCTCATGCCCTCACGCCCTCATGCACTCATGCACTCATGCCCTCATGCCCTCACGCCCTCATGCACTCATGCCCTCATGCTCTCATGCACTCATGCAATCATGCCCTCATGCCCTCATGCCCTCACGCCCTTATGCCCTCATGCCCTCACGCCCTGATGCCCTCATGCCCTCACGCACTCATGCCCTCATGCCCTCATGCCCTCACGCCCTAATGCGTTCATGCTCTCATGCCCTCATGCCCTCATACACTCATGCCCTCATGCCCTCACGCCCTCATGAACTCATGCCCTCATGCCTTCACGTCCTTATGCCCTCATGCCCTTATGCCCTCATGCCCTCATGCCCTCATACACTCATGCCCTCACGCCCACATGCCCTCATGCCCTCATGCCCTCATGCCCTCATGCCCTCATGCCGTCATGCCCTCATGCCCTCATGCCGTCAT